CAGCCTGCGCTATTTTAAGGTGTGGAAGAGCATATTTCCAAGAAATTAATCTCACTTCAGTGTCTTGTGTCAGAGCCTGGTCTGTGCCTTGTGATCTTCTCTGGCCATCTGCATGAACACCCCAGTTGTGTTCCAGTCTCAATCCATCAGACAGCTCTACCCTGCAGGTTTCAGAAAACAGACTTTCACTAGTCAAATTTGACATCAACAGTTGCACCCAGTAAATTGGGATGCATCGGCTGTAAGTTAAATTAACAAATCCCTAAATAGTTAGGAGACAATACTTGAAAGAGAAATAATCTAGTAAGCGTTGCATTGATCTAAATCATGTTAATTCTGCCTGCTCCAGGGATGCCTAATTCAGCTCATCGATTTAAATCTGCTCAGATCTATAATTTGCATCCAGTTATTTAGGAATATATTTTAATACACTCGTGTTCTGTGGAGACTGTTCCGGTAGGTGTTTCTTTCTCAGGCTGTTGGCTCTCTGCTATGTCACACGGACCCTGCTGAGCAGCTCTAGGCAACAGCCCTCTGACTGTTGACATCCCCTCACCCTTCCAGCTTTGGGTCATTACCCGCCTTAGGGAGGAAACCTGTAGGGCAGCCAGCCGCTGCGTTGACATTCCTGAGCGGAGCGGTTTCACTAAGGAAGCGTGGTAGAAGAGCGGCTATGGTGGAGAGGGGGTCCGGAGAAATGGAACACCTCGCACGCTTCGAGTAGATGTGGGAGTCTGTGAAGATGGTCTTCGTGGGAAAGAGCCAAAGTCCCTTTAGATGCTTCTCAACAAAGACATCTCTATTAGGACAGGCAGTAGAAGAGGAGAAAATAAGTGAAGCTGGAGTCCTGCTGTCTCCAAGACTGAGCAGAGGCAAAGCGTGAGCACAGGGAGAGATGGACGAAGGCAGAACAAAGGCAATTTTGAAAAATGGCAGAAGCAGTAAGACATGGGATAGTCAGCAGGGGAATGAGGCTTCAGCAGGTTACGAGAGGCATCAGGAAGCCACTTAGGATGAGGGGCCATACACAAGCATGCACGACCATGTCCCTGGTTTGCTCAGGGCACAGCTGATCCCGCCTGTGGTGATAGGGAAGCAGTATTCATGTCTTGCTGGAAGGAGCAGCTGACCCTTGTGCTGGGTAAGCTCCTCTGAGGTTCCAGGAGGGGAACTCAAGGCAGGCAGAGCAGGGCTCCCAGCTTGGCACCTGGGGTGGATGCTCAGGTTGGTCCGTCATGGTGCAGGTAGGAGGTCCGTGAACCAGCCAGCCCCTGCAGAGCAGCCCCCCTACCACGGACAGCCGTGCACACGTGTGTGGTGTCCCGCTGGTCTGCCCCAGCACGCTACACGTGGTTCGCCTGCTCGTTCCTCCAGTGTGACCTGCTGGAATTAGCCCAGCTGAGGGAGGTGGGACTGAGCGCAGGACAATGGGTCACAGAGGCACATCTGGGTTGGCATCAATAAATTATAAAGGCTTGTCAGCAGATGAATGGCATTACCTCAGCGTGGACCAGGAACCAGGCATTAACTTTTAATGAACAGCAGCCAGGGGAAGCAGAACATGCGAGAACAGGGTGGCTGGAGTCCGAGATGAAAACGCGGCGGTGCCTGGCTGACTGGAGGAGAGCTCTGCAGCTGCTGGCGCAGGATCTGGCCCCCAGCCTGCCGTGGGGACGAAGCACGATGTGCCGTCCCAGCTCCACCACTCCACACTACCCT